ACGAAGAGAAAAACAGATCATGCATCACCAAAACTTCCACGTGGAATCAGTAATCCAATATTACAAGGACTTTGTGTTGTTACTTTATATACTTGTAATATCAAAATCACTTAATTCTCCATATTTATAAGTTGTAACTTGACACTCACCGGTGAAACAAATTAGTTAAATCTACTTAAATTGATATATCCTACCTTGATTGATTGAGATTTTTTATTTTAGTTACACGCAACTTTTACAAACTAATCATGTGAGTGGCGATCAAAGAGAGGATAAAAACATATTTTTAACAAGGTCTTTCTAATTTAAGGTTCACGTTATAAACATCATTAGAACACCTAGACATTATTATAATATCATTGATAGCATTTGAATTTTATATATATTCATCTCGTTTAAAAATGTAAAATATTTTTAATCAAATCTCACTTCTTAATATAGTTGTTATATATTTTCACTAACTATATATTTTCATATTTATCCCTATTAAAACCCTACAATAAATATATTTATTATCAATAGATTTTTAAAAAATAATAATTATACTTTAAAAAATTACATTTAACTCTTCAAAAAATACTCTTACAATTTTTAACAGAGGAAGTACCTTAACAATCTCTTTTCTTATATTATATGGTATAAAAATTTGGCTTCAAGATTTATATATACATTATCTATATATATATATATTGAATTAAAAAACTTAAAACTGAAGGAGACTGATTTGTGAGTCTATATTGAAGACTACTCAAAGAGTCTCAAGGCATAGCCTTTAATCTCTATAACAATGTAAATCGTAAACAATTTTCACTCGTCCGGCGTGTCCCATCCAACTTTTCGCCGGGACATACTAGGACAAGTGACGCCGCTAAGGACCCAGTGAGGGATTGAACGAGAGCGCCGAAAAGTAATCATCATAAAACTTGTTTCTTAATCTCTACCGTCCGAATAGCGGAATAGTCGCCTTTTGTTTCCTTCCCAGATCCCAAATGTCAATTTAAATACGAGAATTCTAGGCGATGCGCCTAGCTCTTCACGCTCTAACATTTGATGATCACACGAAGACAAAGTCTGAACTATTTTCTAAGCTTAGCCATCCCTGTTTATTACGAATCAGAGAACCAATCATAACAAGAAAATAATTGGAGCATTGAACATAAGCTAACTTTAAACAACGCAAGTACAAAATTTTACTTTCGATTCAAGTTCACAGTCCTCTGGATCAGGAACTCAACTTTCTCCTTTTTCCTAATATTTTTATATGGAAACAATATAAGATGGAAACAATCCTTCCTTCGGCTGCCAAACCTCTGGTACAAGATGTCCTAGGCTTCCTAGAAAGGCCTCCCGAATCCTCCTAAATGAAACAGAGAATGAAGAAAAGCTGACTCACTAACAAGTGGGATATTAACAAACGTGCCTAGAAGGGCGCACCTTATGCACGCCATCATTGTTAGAACATAAGCCAATGCCACACCGGCCCAGTAGTACATCCCAAATGTTCCATTGAAGTGTACTAGCGGCATGAAATTGCTTGAATACCACAGCACTTGCAGAGCAATTTCCAACAAGATTCCCATCATTACGTGAAATCTGAAGAGAAGAGGCAAAGTCCTTATTTTTTACGACAACTACAACTGCCAAATAGCAGTATATCATTGGAAACCAGCTTGGCAATCGATTGACAGCTCCCGGGATGTAATAAACCAAATCTTGAAAGCATTTAAAGTTTTCAATGAAAGGCTGAATGTAAAATCCAGTATCAGACATCTTCAACGATATTAGATAGGGAATGCAGGACAATGTCCTCCACCACCATTCTGGCTTTTCAGCTGTTGAAGGGATTCGGAAGCCAGAAGAGTGATATATGTAAGCTTGACTGCAGGTCATAGATTTGCGGCTTCGAGATATTGAAGGAAGTGTAACTAATTGGCCAGCTTGATCTCCTCTAAACAGAGGAGATGAAACTGCAGTGATTTGAAGAACTGATTCCCTGAAATCAAAGGTTCGGAGATTAAAAGAATTAATAAGATTCTTTAACAATGTACTGAAAGGATAATAATCAATTCAATAATATGCTGTTTCATCTAATCAACCAAGTCAACTCTTGATTCCTACGGCAGAGAAGCTTAAGCTTAAGGTATACCTTGAACATTGCATGCAAAATTGCTGAGTGGATTCTAGCGACCCATCTATTTGGACTTAAATCTTTATTCCTGGTAGTAGAAAAACAATTACAAGAAGATTAAAAGTACACAAATACACATATGGCAAAGCAAGGGAGGAAGATTTGCACAAATTGAAAATGCTTGTGCACCAACACCCATCCACAAATACCAGAAAAAGAACCTGAATGAAAGTACCATCATAATGTCAAAGCTAACAAGTACATCATAATGATGACTACAAAAAGCTCCTCATTTCTGAAAACACATGTCGCAAAAATTTGTTCATTGGAAAAATCTTTTCGACACTGTACAGTTTTCCAATAACCACAAGAAAAAAAACTTTCTTCTGCTATTTCTGGAGCTTCCAGTGGATCAATGGCACTACCCTTTTTGTATAATTTACCATGATCTCCTTAAGGCCCATTCTACTAAGACCAACCATCATTTGTTGTTTACCACCAGTCACCAAGGTGCACGTTGATACTACTCCAAGAAAATCTTGTTCAATCAGCTAATTCTCCTGATCTTGAATTGAAATTGGATCAGCCAGGGATGGAGGTTGAAACACATCCACCCTGGTCCCTCGCAGTAGAAATTGCAAGTCAAGCAATGCATTTCACAACAAAAGGAAGACAATGAGAACAATTTTTTACCCTTTATTCTTAGGTAATAGAGAAACTTAATATATATATATATATATATATTTCAAGAACATACCCTTAGAATTATCCACTTGTTTTCAAACTATTCCCCAGTCATAAGAATTTTCAAATTTCTCTCAAAGTAGATCAATACCTTTTAAATTCCTTTGCTATAAATATCAACTAACACAGGAAACAGATTTGCCCTGCCGCATGTAGACTAAACAAGAACCAGCAATGTAACAAGACCAATGCATCTTTGATTCTTATTTGCATACTTAAAACAACCAACAGGAAGAGGTACCACCCCCTGGTAAATCTACTCTGTCAATTGATAAACATGATTTTGAAATGTAGTGCTAGAAAACCAATAATCAACCTTATAAAGCACTGCAAATAGTATTGAGCTCTGTCAAATAATGTTTCTTAAGTTTACAATTCAGATCCTCATGGACTACATGCCACTCCTTCTAGCCATACGCAGCACAAAAAGATGGCCCTCTTGCTTCTGAACTATAGGAGCAAGTTCCATGGATGATTTTGTCATTATAATATATGATGTATCAAATATTAATATTCAAAATTTTTGGTATACATAAGTATGGAGAAAAATATAAAATCATTTGCAAGCCAACGATACAACCCCTCACTATATATCAAACACTTCTAATAACTTGAGCATTTCATTTGCGCAATAAATAATAATTGAATTGCTCCCAATACCCAAATAGACTAGTATTTTTCAAGAATTTACTTATCTTCGAACTTGGCGGTGTTGGATTTCTTCAGCAAAATCTACAAGTCATTATGTGTTTGATGGGACAAGACTACACGCTCAATATATCAATGCCCAGTACATATTTTACGTGATTGTGTACAAATGAGTGCACTGAAGGCACATTATAATGACAGATGGGTCGCCGGATGGAAAAATAAATTCTTATTATGCATTGTCAGTTTGTACACACGCATGCATATAAAAAGAACTTGCGATTGTACAATTTTCTACAAAATCTAAAATCTTGAAACTGGTGTTCATATAAAGATTCAGATGACACTTGAAATACCTAATGACTGTAAATATAATTTGTTGGAAAGCAGATAGAAATGAGAATTTGGGAGGGCATTACAATCAACCAGTATTCCAGCAATTTAAACAAAAAACCAATTATCAGCTTTTGTCAAAAAAGAAAAAAAAGAACATGTTCTATTCCTAAGAGTGAAAAAACTATCATTTCTTTAATGCACTGCATCAAGCTAACAAACTAAAATATGAGGAACAATAAGGACAACTATTAAGCATATTTCTTGGAACTGAAAAATATCTTACATAACAGCATCTCTGCTCCCAGGCCGTCGCATAAATGTATATGTTAAAAACTAGAGCAGGAAAAAGAAAAAAGAAAAAAGAAGGCAAAACTCGAGGTTGCGTGTGTCCCGAGAAAAAGGCGGAGATCGTGAACGGAAAACGAGGAAGGAGAAATGGAGAGGCGGTAAACAAACCTGAAGGAATCGGAGGGAGGAGTGCAGAGAAATTGAGAAGGCGAAGCTGCGGTGAGTGCTGGAGCCATACCCGATGAGAGGATGGCTTTTGATCTAGTCGGATTCAAGCAAAGAAAACAGCGAGTCAAGGACACCTTATTTATAGTTATAAAATAATATAATTATATTTATCGTATTTTTACTTATAAATATCAGCATCGCCGAATATAGGAACACTCCGGACCTCGGACTCGGGTAGGATTTGCAGTCGCAGGTCGCCGGCGGTGATTGATTCCGTGACTAGTAAAAAAAAAAAAAAAAGTCTAATGTGAAAAAATTATCATCAATCTTAGGGTTAAGTTAAGCTAACTCTTAACTTTTCTTATTCCTAAAATAATTTTATTCCATACTCATAAATGAGATAATTTTATTCATAAATTATTTTTTTAAATAGTAAAAAAATAAAAGTATAAGAATTTTAAACATTAAAAAAATGCAAGAATATATAATAAAATATGAGTAAAGTATAAATATTTAAAATTATATTTTTTAAAATTTTAATATTAGTAATTAGTAATAATTAATAATGTTGCATAGTTAAAGCATTTAAAATATTATTATTATCAACATTCCTGTTTCTTAATTTCGTAACTAACAAATTTTTATATTTTCAAGGATACTTTTCTCATCTTTTAGTTTTTTAAATTTATTTATTTATTTATTATTAGCTATTGTTATTTATTTTTTATTTATTATTATTTTTAATCAATATGATTATTTTAATCAATACTGATCTGATTTTAATTTAACCCCTTATTGAATTACTGATCTTTGAACTATTAATTCCATCGGGTTAATAACTAGTTTAATTTTTAATACTTTAAATTATATTAATTACAGGACAACCGCTACACTCAATCTTTAATTTTACCCTCGGAGTGAAAATTATGTGTGAAATTCTTACAATTTCTTGCAAATTATATATTGCATAATATTATGCTCATCCTGCACACTGAAAGTGAAAAGTATGCGTGAAATTATTCTGTACACACAGCCTTGTGATATAATCTTGATTTGTCTTGCCCTATCAGCACTTGTTCTGGTAAAACTAAAAAATAAAAGTATCGTTGGGGTAGCTCCTCTTGCTCTTGCCTCTCAATTCCGTTATATATATATATTGCCGCCAAGCTTAAATAGCATTGAGAATAGAGAGACACATGAAAATCGGATTTCATTGGCAATTTCCTCTGCATGGGAAAAATTAATTACTCTTCTTCGAGCTGTTTACCAAATTGCCATTTTCACACCTTATTTTCTCTTGACCACAAATATAAATTATTCTTAATAATTTACGTTTATAAAAAAATGATTAAAATTTGGATTTTCTGAATAGCTTTAGAGTTTTCCAATGGTATATAAAATAAATATAATATTTGATTTACTCAAAATATTCTTAGTTAATTACTTGAATAAAGTATAATAGGGATATAAAACACACACCCATCTCCTACCCGACGTCTGTTTTTTTTTTTTTTTCAAGTGGAGCTTAAAGAAATCTAGATTGGATCGGCCAATTGAACCAAGAATCGATTACATGTCCAACCCAGAACTAAGCTAGAACTAGGGGGAAAAATAGATGACAAACTGGACAAAATCAACGGTATAGCCAGTTTGAACAATCAAATAAAAAAGAAGAATAATAAATAAGAGAAGATGATAAAAAGAACAAAAGACAACAGAGGCATGAAAAAAAATTCAAAAAAGGAAAAGAAATCTACAGAAAAGATTGAGGAGAAGATAAAAGGCTAGCTACTTTGAGTTTTTCTTCTTTTTTTTCTACAGTGCTTTTTTGTTCTGTAGCAAACCACCACTCTGCTCATGCTCATTGTGTCACAGAATCACCATATAGAACTAGATTTGTCATAAAACCACTAGATATGGACAGAATTTGTGGATGATATGAAACCAACAGCCTACAACGATGCAAAGACAACGTTTTTAAAAATTGATTAGACAATGAACTAAAAAGGTTAGCGCGAGTCAAAATTCTCGTGGTTTGATTGGCTAGATCAATGATCAAATTGATGAGATTATAATTAAATAAAAAAATAATATTTATATACAACCACAACACACTAAAAAAAAGTCAAAATGGTTCAATCGCTTTGGGTCTCGAGTTTTACTTCAAGTCTTCAAAAACCATTAGGTTAAAGCTAGCCAATCCAAGTTAACTGTCAAAATGAGCCAAATGGACGAACCAAACTATTTTTTTTTTTGAATGACGATTTAACTAGTCTAACCATCCTAATTTGTAACATCACAATTTTTATTTCTAGACTATAAGCAATATTATGGAAGAATTATTACATGATGAATAGAAGTTATCATGTAATTATTTGAGTAAAGAAAGTTTACCTAAAATGGGATTAATTTTTGAAGACTTCATTCTACACAATCTTTAGAAGGAAAAAAAAAAAAAAAACAAGGTTTGATAGGGTTAAATAATAGTCTATTAAGATATTTTCCAACTCAACATATTATAAATATTTTAATATTATGAAATTTTATTTGAAAAAAAATATACAAACTTAGTTTAGTTTTTAAGTCTAAGGAAAGATTAAAAAAAGTTGGACTGAAATTTATTAAAAAAATTAACAAAGGATAAGCAAGAAAGAAGAATAAAAGTTATTCATGTTAATCATTCAATGAATAGAGTTGTTGATTTCCTTGCTGGAAAAGCGGCTCAACAATAAGCAGGGTTTTATCAGTTTAGTTATACCTAGGATAAGTTCTCCTTTTAAACTGCACTAGCATAAGCAGCTAACTTGCCGCTCCTTTTGTTATTAAAAAAAAAGAAAAGACACAAGAA